CCGGCCATGTCCCACTCTTGTAAGAAAAGGGACCTCATTTCTAAGGCTCAGTGTCACTTTGTACCCAGACCCACCACTGAGTCACTTTATTTCTCACACTGAGAATTCAAGGCTGGGTTCAGAATGGATAGAGATTTGTCGCCCACAAGGGTGACCCTCAGAGCACTTGCCAACTGAGGTGCTTTAGAGAGGGCTCTGGAGAGGAGCAGGGGGGCAGGGATAGGTGTGCAGCCCCAGGTGGCCAGGCCGAGGACACAGACGCGCCTGCACTGTGAGTTCTGGTGGCTTGTTAGCAGATCTGTCCCGCGATTCCCCCAAGTCACACACCCTGCGTTTGTATCCTGGTGGGTGCCATCTACTCCACATCTGGGCCCCACGTGTGTCTACGGGGCTTGAGCCACAGAATCTCACATAATCATTGCAGTGACTCCTGAGGTGGGCATTACCAAGGAACCAAAGTTGGTGATAATGCTGTCCTAGGCTGCCCTAGGTCACAGAGTTAATGGGCGGGGGTTGCACTCAGGGAGTCCAAGACCAAAGTCTCCACCCCCAACAGTGGATGAGGACCACTTGTCACTGTCACTCTACAGTCTCCTGCCCCATAGTCACATGTGGTTGATGATGGGCTACGTCTACCACAGGGGTCCCATAAGTTTACCCAGGAGCTAGAGAATTCCCATCACATAGTGATGCCATTCTTCGGACATGTCCCCAATCACTAAGCAATGTGTCACTAAGATGGAATGGCTTGCCCTTGAGTGACCGACTCTCTCTTCCTCTCCCTCTCTCTCACACCCCAGATGTGTTTGGTGACAGATCCCACCAGGAATAAAGACTCTCAGACAGTGGCCCTGGACAGAAACTTCTTCCTTCGGATCCAGGGTGGGAAGCGTCATTAGATTGAAGGCAGCACTTCTAATCTCATTTTCTCTCAACTTGCTGAGTAAATTTAGCCATTTCTCTACCTGAAATATGGACATTATCACCCTACTCCAAGCCTGGGGCGTGTAAAAGATGAAGAAGTCCTCGGAACCCCCCAGTAGCCTGGGAGCCCCAGGACGCCGAGCCGGCCAACCTGCTTTCAAAGTCATTGTTCACCGTGCATTCATTTAAAAGCTGAACCTGGAGCATTTTGTTGAACCACTGGCTGAATTGGGTTATTATGATCGTCGAAATGAATAATGGCATAAATGGGTTCAAACACGCTGAGCAAAAAATGCATACATTTGAATAAACATAAATTCAAGTGTTATTATCAGCATTCTGCCCACAATGAAACTGAGGTAAGTCACTTGCTGGAGGCCAGGGGTCTAGATGTATTGATATACATACATAAATAGGATATGCTGCGTGCTAAATAGTTATAAAGGGAGCGAGGATAGAAAGCTTTTGACGGAAGATTGACTGCTGCTGTAAGGGGAAGTGGTGATGGGAATCTAGTGGCAAATGCTATGGCAAGAATGATGCAGGTAAGCCTCACCTGTGGCTTCTACAGCCCTGGGTGGGAGGCCTGGGAGGAGTTCACTACAGAGAGAAGGAAGCCCCCCTGGGACCTTGGCAGTGGTGCAATCTGGTGGATATGATTGTGTCCAGTGATCCAACCCAGGCTCCCCTCTCATGGGGCCACCGGATGTCAGGCACCTTCTGTTATAAAGCATAACATACACACAGCTATGGGGTACTGTTGCCAAAAAGACTGAATGTGAATCTAGTCATCAGGATATCACGGCACAAATGCACCATCATGGAAATTCGACAAGACTAGCCAGACTCACAAGTATGTTGATGCCTTGCCTAGCGGGCGGGCGGGGGGGGGGGGAGCAAAAAAAAAAAAATCCAGAGGAAGAGTTCTAGATTGAAGAAGTATAAAGGACAATGACAGATAGATAAATACAACATGTGTCCTTGATTAGCTCCTGCATCGAGCAGTGAGAACAATCCAGTGGCCACAGAGGACACTGGACTCGAGAAGGGGCTGCCGGGATAAATGGAGCCACTTGCAGAGGACTGAGTATCAGGTGGCAGTACTGCATCAGTGCTGAGTCTCCTGAGTGTGGTTCTGTGGGAGAGTGCCTTGTCCTTAGAAAATCCCACTCACAGGAAATGACAGGATGCTCACAACAAGTTCTTAAATAGTTGCGCAAAAATAGTGCATGCATATGTGTGTGCATGCGGAGAGTGGGAAAGCGAGCCACAGAGGCAACTGGTGAATGAACAAACACACACGTGGGGTCACAGCACCGCACCTGCCATTTCCTAAGATTTGTCAATTTTCAAAATGAAAGAAAGAACGAGAGAGAGAGAACATCTGTTGTGGATCACCCTGCCCCTTCCCAAACTGGGAATGGATACAGGTGGCTTCTATTTTTTCCCCTTCTGTTAACGACCTTTGCTCTCTTTCCCCACCACAGGGCTGAGGTGTGGGAACGCCTGTGCCCTGTGCCCTGGCCAATTGTGATGCGAATGCCACTCCCACTGGGATTGGTCAGGGGTGACCAGACCTGGACCAATCAGAACCCACTGTCTGTAACTGTGATCCCGGAACTCCTCAGGTCCCTAACCTCTAAACCTAGAGGCGGGCACAGCTGAACAGCCTACAGGGAAGGGGGCCTGGCATGTCAGGTTCCAGGTTCTGAAGCTTGGGGTCCCTGGAACTGCCAAGGTTCTGAGGGCTCTGACTGCAGGAATAAATGTTGGGGGACACATTGTGGACAGTCACACAGAACAGAGGGGGGCATGTGGCATGTGTGTGTGCATGTGTGTGTGAACATATGTGCATGACAGAGCATGCTAGAGAAAGCGTGTGGGCAGTCAGAGAGGCTTTCAAGAGAAGGCACCTGGGCTGGGTGCTGCAGGAGACAGAAGGCTCTGAAAGGCGTGTTCTTCCAAGTGCAGGGGATGGGACAAAGGCGGGTGTGTCAGGAGCGTGCTACCCTGGGGCCGGGAAGTAGCAGCAGGTAAGGACAGGCCATCAGAAGCGGACCATGAAGAGTCCGGAGGCCACACTAAGGAATGCAGACCTCACCTTATGGACACAGCAAGTGTTCGATTCAAGGAACCCCCTGACCAGACCCACGTTCAGGGATGTTCAGTGACACCATCACCGCCATGCCACGGCAGCCAAGGCGCCTGTGGCAGAGGCAAAGGGATGAGTCTCCACGTGGAAGCTCGTTTATTTCTCCTGAATGACTTCCACCCAAGACAGCTATAAAATGGGATATCTGCATTCTCCCCATTGCTTTGTTTTCCAGAATCTGCAAAGCACAGTTAACAGAAAGAGTGCTCCAGACACTTTAAGGAGGCAGTTGCAGCGATCCTCCTCCATGAGACGCAGCGTGGCACAGGGCGAGGAGCTGCAGCTCGGGCGTCAGGAAACGCACGTCTGATGCCTGCTCAGCAATCTGACCTGGGGGGGGGGGTCTTTAATTTCTTTACAGGTTGGCTCACCTGTAAAATGCAGAGGAGAACTGACCCTGGTCATTGGTTGTGGGCAGGATTAAATGACACAGGCGCAGGGCATGCAGAATGCCTCCCTATGAGATTCCCTTTCATTGACAGTGACGATGATCACTGCCAACAGTTGGATCCTGACCACTAACTGGACACCTCCAGGGGCAAGAGCCAACTGTTTCCAAAGGTGGCCCGGCCCCCTCCACGGGTGAGCAAGACCATGCTTCAGCCGCGCTGGACTCTGCTCCTGCCTGGTACCCACCCTCCTCGTGTGGTGGCAGTTTAGGGCACCGAGGGAGGAGCCCTGACCCAGATACAGAGCAGATGCTCCTCCCCTGGGATCCTGCTCCGGTTCCCTGTCAGAAGTCAAGGGCGGGCGGGGAGGCCCTGCACGGCCACCATCTGCAAGCTCTTGGTTGTCCACCAAGCACGTCCACCACCCAGGAGGATGAGAGGTTCTCCAGAGACTGTCAACTGCCCCAGGAGTACCAGGCTGCGCTCAGGAGCAGCTCTGAATCTCCGGCTGAAAACCATCGCCGAGGCTGCTGGGAGGCCCCTCTGGTCACTTATGTGTTCCCTGGAGAAATAGGCCGAGAGCAGCCAGCACATAAGGGTCCCTTGCTGTCCGGTCCAGGTGCCCTGCAGGAGGGGAGGACTGTCCTTCCCTCCTTTCCTGCTCCCTTCTTGGCCAATGTGGCCACACCACACCAGCCAATTCAGCCCAGGGCCAGGGTAGGTGGACTTGGGGGGGGTCACCCCAACTCTGACTCTCCTGCTTCATAAAGGGAAAGGCTGGCTCTCTGGGAAGGACAGCCCCGTCAGCAATTAGACCCCCTCCTCTCATTTGCATTCCTGTCCCAGCAGCAGATCTGTATCAACATCCCCAGGGCAAGACAATCTTGTTTCCCCAACAAAACCGATTATGCACATCAGGCCTGGGGATTAATCACCAGCCACCGAGATGGGAGGATCAGGGTAAGAGGGAGAGAGGCCACATCCCTGCTGAGTAGGGCCAGCGGCCAGCTGGGGCCAGGCCGGGTTGGGGGCTGCCTCCCTCACCCTGGAGCAGGAAACCCAGCCTGCCCTCCCCCTCCCCCTCCCCACTTGGCCGTGTGCTGAGCCCAGTGCTCCAGAGTCTGGGCATAAGTAAGGAGGGAAAAGTCCTGAGTGGGCCACCTCCATGCACCACCCAAATTGTCCCCAAACAGAAGGTGCCACCTCCCCGTCTGATCCCCAGTTGCTGCATGTTCCTCACCCCCTGCCCCCAGACCCAGGCCCCACCAACAGAGCCAACAGGGCATTTCCCAGAGGGCTGACTAGCGCCAGGCCACAGCCACAGCTGCTGTAGTAGACCCCCCCAAGGTCACCTCTGTCCCTGTCCACTCTGGTATGGGCAGCACCATGGCCCGCACCCAGCCAGCCTCTGCCAGGCGGAGCAGGGCAGGTGTCTCACCCCAGGGCTGGATGGGAGCCTGTGGCCCGGCCCCGCCCTCAGTGCCCCTCAGGACAGGACAGACGGCTGTCTGTGGGGGGGGAGGGGCATGTCTTGCCTGTACTCCAGGGAGAACCTGGTCAGCTCCCTGCTGTTGTGGAGCCACTTGAACTCCAGGGGCCAGCTGCCCTCGGCCATGCACGTGAGCACCAGGCGGTTCCCCTCCAGGTGCACCTGCGTCCGCACGGGCTCCGTCTTGAAGTACGGCGGCACGTCATCTGCGGGAGACAGGGACACAAAGGCACAGATTACCACGGGCTCAGCCACGCGCCTGGACCATTGAGAACCCCCGCACCCTCTGCCTCCTGGACAGAAGGAAGGAGGGACACTGGCTACACCTAGAGATGGCAGTTTTCACCAGGAGAACAGGGAGGTGGGTGACAGCCCTGCGAGTGGCGGAGCCTGTACTGCTCCCCAAGTCTGGGCAGCCCCTAAAGTCATCGAGGGCAGAGTCTGTCCAATGGCCCCTTCCACCACCAGGTGGCCTGGGCTGTGGGTGTGAGGCCAAGGGGTCACCACAGAGCTACCCCCACCGGGTGCAGCCCAGCAGAGCCCGAGCCCCCACGGCTGCCACACAGAGACCGTGTGCTCGGGACCTGGACCTGCAGAGGCTACGAAGGCTCACGGCCTCCAGGGCCAGGGGGGTCTCTGCCCGAATGGCCAGTGGGGGAAGACAGAAGTGGAAGGGGACGAGGGGTAGGAGAGATAAGGTGAAAGAAGCGGAGAAGACCCCTGTCACTGAGCGCCTGCCCTTGGGCGTGGCATGGCGGAGACAGGAGTGGCCTCTGGTAATGATCTTGACGGGTGTGTGGCCCTTTGGTGAGTCCCGGCTATTCTGGGGACTCTGCCACGTGCCCATCTAATTCCCATGGCAACCCCATGACCATGTTAAGGCACTGAGGGGTTAGAAGGCTGCCCAAGGCCATGGGCGGGGAGGCCGGAGCTGAGCCCTGGACCTTGAGTCGCTCACGGCTGAGGAGGCTGGGACAGCATGGGAGGAGAGGGTGGGTACCAATGAGAACCCAGGGACCCAACGAGTGCCTCCAGGCCTGGCATGTGACAGCCTGAGGACGAGACTTCCAGAAGCCGTCTCAACAGTTCATCCCGTGAGCAACCACTGTGCACCAAGCACCCGCCGCAGACCGCTAAGTGGCAGACCAGGGATTGGACTTCCCAGAGGACAGGCCTGTGCCTCCCATGGGTCCCACACACCAGGGCCACGAGGAAGCGCTGGCAGGGCTTCCCTGGGGGCATCCTGACCTCCAGGCCCGTGTCAGGGGTCTTGGCACCGGGGCCCTGTGCCTGCTTTCCGCGTCCCAGCTGAGCGGGTGGGCAAGTCCTGCACGTCTGAGCCTCAGTTTCCCTCAGTGGACATGGGAGAGAAGGAGCTGCCGAGGGACTGAGTGAGTCGGTGACGTGCCAAGGCTGGTCCCAGGCCTGCCGGGGGCAGGTGCTTGGGAAGGGCCACTTCTCCCCTGAACGTGTGGGTGTCCCTGGCAGGTCTAGGGCCAGCGTTCTTGACACCGCAGTGCCCCAGGCACACCTTGATCAGAGGAGGCTCCCCCGGGAGCCCAAGGGTGCAGAACCGCCAGACAGTCCTATGGTGGCCTCATAAGGGTGACCCAGAGGGACAAGCAGGAAGGGGTCGTGGTGGCGGGCTGGAGAGGGGCCAGGGCGCGGCCCAGGCTGAGGCCCGGTGTCCTGGACCCCAGGGCTGCTCTTCCCTCCCCATATCAACACGTGGGCGTCTGTGCTCCTGGGACAGCTCAGCCCTGGCTTCCCTGGGCTCCAGCTCAGATTCGCCGCTCAGCACGGGCTGCCATGCACATCTGGGGCCATTCGGCTTCCCCTGCTGGGTGGCACCCCCAGGCCTGGCCCCCACTCCACACCCAGGGGCTTCTGTGTGTGACCTGCCACAGCTGGGACAGGGGCTCTTCCATGGATCCGACCCTCCCTGTGGGGCCACCGGAGTCCAAACCCAAGGGCGGGCTGTAGGTGGCCCCCGGCCCCTCCGCTGGCCTCCCTGGTGACCATCTGGTGAGGCCCGGGGCATCTCTCTGTGCTTCCTCATGCACGACTGTCACTTGAGCACACTTCAGCAGGCCAGCTGAAGAGGCACCTGCCCAGAGCGCAGACCCCGAGGGGTGACGGCCCTCTGCTGGCCCCCGTGCCTCTGGGTCCTGGCCCACCTCTGGCCTCGTTGGGAGGCCCTGGGCCGCCCTTTGCCAAGGAGAGGGACCCGCGCCTTGGAGGCCGCCCGCTCGGCTCTGGGCTTAACAAATGGGCACATTCTCCCTTCAAAGGCGCATTCATATTCTCCCGCAGCTTTAAAGGGTCTTTTGAATCTCGGTTTTAAAAACCCTCTGTTCGCAGCTGTCCTTGCTGGTTTGTTTTAAAACAATAACATTCCTGACCCGGAGTGATGGCTAAATCCCTCCCTTCCACGCTGGGCCGACTCCCAGCCAGAACCCCAGAGGGCGGGCGGGCGCGGACCTGCACACGCCTGGGCACGCACACCCCACACCCCCTCCTCCACGGCCTGCTCAGGGGCCCTTGGCTCCAGGTCGGCGGTTGCCGTTCATTCCTGGGCCCGGGGGTGGGAGCCGGCAGCCTGCACCCGGGACTTGTGCTTGGATGGGCTGATCCAGCTGCTGCTGAGACAATGGCTCCGGGAGCGAAGGGAGGGGAGACCCTGCCTGAGTCCTGCTGGGCAGCAGGCCTGCTCCCCGTCCCTCCTCCCTCCCTTGTCCTCCCAACACAGCGGCACCCAGTGACCAGGCCCCTCCCCTCCCCACCATGCTCCCTGGGTAAGGGGATCCTGGGGGAGGCCTCACCCAGGGCGCAGGGAGTCCCACCAGGCAGTGTCCTCCACGGGCCTGCGCCCATCTGAAAGCAGCAGACCCCAGGGACCTGGCTGTGCGCTGTGGGAGGAAGGACAGGCAGGGGGAGAGGGGACGCTGTGGGGCAGCAGAGTGCGTGTGTGTGTGTGTGTGTGTGTGTGTGTGTGTGCATCTGTCTCCGCAGGAGCAGATTTCTGTGCTATGAGTGCACAGGAAGGTTCAAATCATTGACTTTGAGAAAGTCACTGAACCACGACACCTCAGTTTCCTTAGTTGCAAATTGGGGATAGTTTTTTTTTTGTGTGAAATTAATTAATTAATAAGCACAAAGTCCTTAGAATAGAGCCTGGCACATCCTGAAGAAGGGGTAGCCATTGTTACCATTGCTTATATATGTGGATGGTCAGATTACCCTGGTGAGAAGACCTCACACTCTATTAGCAGGAATCAGAAACTCCTCTCTTTATCTTAGGGGGGTCCAGTACGCAACCTTTGCAACTGTACATAACAGCACTGTTAGCCACTTTCACCCTCTCAGTGGGAAGGGAATAACTGTGCATAGAGGAGAATTGTGGATAGAAAGAATCCACTGTGTAAGGATGTCAGTCTCTTAAATTCTTACTCATTTCAAATGTGTATGCATACACACATACTCACTTTTTTTTAAAACACTATACAAAGTGGTTCTAATGTTCACAGGAAGAACAAACACCACACAAGAGTAGTCAAGAAATATCAGAAAAGGCGTGGCCAGCGGGGCAGACTAGACTAGTACAGAAGCTGGACTATATTATAAAGCTGCAAGGATTAAAACTGTAGTCTTTTTTATAAAAAAAAGATATTGTCTTAGTTGTATTTGGAAACAATACCTTTATTTTATTTATTTGTTTTTACGTGGTGCTGAGGATCGAACCCAGCACCTTGCACTTGGGAGACGAGCGCTCTGCCTCTGAGCCACAACCCCAGCCCCAGATCTGCAGTCTTTAAGAAGAGACCAACAAGGAGTCTGGGAGTCCAGAAATAAGCCCAGATACATACCAGGGTTTTTAATATAGGAAGAAAGCAGAATTTCAAATCCGTGAGGAAAAGATCAATTATTCAACAAATGGTTTTGGAACCTCAAGAAAAACCATTTGGGAATAAAAAATAAAGTTGAATCTCCCCCTCACGCTGTACCTCGAAATAAATGCTAGAAGAATCGATGTTTTAAACATGAAAATGAAATTATAAAAGAACGAGGGGAGAAAAAAAAATCACAGGAGTTTAAAACCACACGATGCTGGCGAAGCGAGGCACCCGCCAAGTACTTTCCTGGTCCCGCGGGCGACACGCGGCCAGGGGACAGATGGATGCTTTCCAGGGCGCAGAACTCTGCGCAGGAGGGAGGGGACCCGCAGACGCAGAGGCGACAGGTGATAAACTGGGAAAGGGATTTGCAACCCTTATCACGGCAAAGAGCTAATTTTCCTGATGTAAAAAATGTCCCCACAAATCAATAAGAGAAAGATTAGCCAATAGAAAAATGGGCAGAGGACGTGGACGGCCGGAGGGAAGGGTCACGGGTGACTCTGGGACACGGCAGAGGCCCTCCTGTGATACCAGGAAGCTGCAGGACGGCTCAGTAAGATCGTCTGTCCCTCTCGCTTTGTGAGCGCGGGACACCTGCGACTGGCCGCCCGCAGAAGACGGGGCAGGCTGGCACACGGCCTCCTGGGGCCGCAGCCTGGCACAGAGGCCAATCTGGAGATTCCATCAAAGCCAGGAACGCACACGCCTCCCCGTCCACTGGCGTCTCAAGGGACCCGCCCTCCATGGACACTGTGCCCGTGTGACATGGCCACTCTTCCCAGCCGGACGGCTGTGACGGCTGGCCATGGGAAACGACCTGGATGTCTGTCAAGGTTAAAGAAGGACGGTCCCTCTAGCTGGAGGGCTCTCGGCAGCTGGCAGTGAGGGCCCGCTCCCGAGAACTCTGCTAAGTGAAATGCAGGCTGCAGGGGGAGTCCGCCAGGTAGGGAGGCCCGTGTGTTGGCCCAGGTACAGGCTCTTCCTGGGGGTGAGGCTTGGGGGAGACTGGGTGGCCGGGGCAGCGGTGCAAGGGTGTGGCCTCTCTGGTCCTTTGACTGGCCTGTCTTTGCGTTGGTGTCTATACGGTGGATCACAGTATGAGGCCCCGGGTTGCCATCAGGTCTGTGCACACATGTGCCCGTGTATGAGCGGGCAGTCACGGGGCTGCCCTGCTGGGACAGGGGAAGGACAGGCCCTCTGTGTGATGTGGGGAGTCCACACCTCAGAGGCTGAGCCCCTTGAATGAAGAGCTGCCTTCCCGGGCGGGCAAGAGGCTTCAGCCCAGAGTTTCCTTCTATTCTCCTGAAACA